AGAGAGAGAGAGAGACAGAGTGTGAGTGGGGGAGGGGCCGAGAGAGAGGGAGACACAGAATCTGAAGCAGGCTTCAGGCTCTGAACTATCAGCACAGAGCCTGACCTGGGGCTTGAACTCACAAGCCATGAGATTATGACCTGAGCTGAAGTTGGATGCTTAACTGACAGAGCCACCCAGGCGCCCCTTGGTCTTTGTTTCTGTATCTTACCCTTTGTAATATGGGGAAACTTCAGAACCAGTAATGGTTAATTATATTATTATCATTATTATTATTATTATTATTAGGTTTTATTTTTAAGTAACCTCTACATCCAATGTTGGGCTCGAACTCATGGGCCCAACATCAAGAGTTGGGTGCTCCACTGAGCCAGTCAGGCATCCCAAGTAGGAGTTAATTATTATTTATACTCTCTGATAATGAGGAAGTACTGCTGATAATGTTGGTAGAGGTTATGTAGAAAGAATTGTGATCTCTTAGTAGAAACATTGTAGAGATGACACTAAACTTGAACTTGTATTTTAAGGCTATTAGAAAATGGCACATTGGGGCACAGATGAAGCTGCTAAGTAACCCCAGCTTTTATTCCACGCGCCTGTTCTTATTCCGTCTCCTGTTTACTTCCTGTTCCATCTGTCTTTATCTGGGTCTTGGGTCTGCCAGTGGCACACATGTGTACTACTTAAGCCTACAGTTGTCACTCAGGGCAGAAGAGGTTGCCGGTTCCTCCTAGGATGGTTTTTGTTGTCAGCAAACCTCAACAGAGGTATTATCCTGTGGCAGACGCTGCTTCCAGTGCCAGCCCTGCCTTAACCTCCGTGCTGGACCGTGAGCTTGTTAGTACTTAAGCTCTGACCCTTTCCACCCCTTACCTATAAAAAGAGAGCAAGGAGACCATCTCCGAAGTTCTTTCTAGCAGTTCTCATCAAAGCAGATCTTCTCCTTTCCCTTCACTATGGTTTTGAATTGTGTTCTCTTTAATTTTAACCACAGGCCCACCTTTGTTTGTTTCGTTTTTATCTGATAGCCTTTTGGCCACAACCAGTCCCAGCAAGACATTCTACAAGAAAATACTATTCTTAAAGCTACTGAAGTGCAGTTCCCGCCAAAGCCAGTAGTAACACCTGAAGCAAAGGTAAGTTTTGACCTACTGGTCATCAGGAAACAACTGCTGTTTTCTGGATTATCAGTACAAAATTCAAGAGTCATTAAAAGCCTTCTCCCCCTTCTAAATGTGTATTTTTTCAAACCCTTACCCTCTTCACCCGCTCTCCTACAACAGATACTTACGAGTGCCTGTCGAGTACTAGACACTGTACTAAGTCATAGAGAGGGAACGGTGAGTGTGTAGCAATGAAGTACAGACAAGTTCCCTGCCTGCTAGGAGGTTCTGTTCCACCAGGTGAGACGAACAGTAACTAACAACGGTTCCATCTCAGATGGTGATAGAGATTATGAAGAAAAAGAAAGGGAGGGTACAGGGGTGTGGGAGCAGGAAGTGATGTTTTTGAGCAGTCTTGAATAATGTGATGGTGGGAGCCCTGTGTAGATTTGGGAGAAGATTTTTTTTTTTTTTAAGTTTATTTATTTTGAGAGACAGAGCAGAGGAGGGGCAGAGAGAGAGGGAGAGAGAGAATGCCAGGCAGGCTCCATGCTGTCAGCAGAGAGCCCCACGCAGGGCTCGAACTCATGAACCCTGAGATCATGACCTGAGCTGAAGCCAAGAGTCAGTCGCTCAACCGACTGAGCCACCTAGGCACCCCTAAGTTTGTTTATTTTTGAGAGAGAGCACACGAGTGCGAGCAGGAGAGGTGCAGAGACAGGGAGAGAGAATCCCAAGCAGGCTCCGTGCTGTCAGTGCACAGTCCCAGCTCGGGCTCAGTTCCACGAATTGTGAGATCATGCCCTGAGCCAGAATCAAGAGTGGGTCGCTTAACCGACTGAGCCACCCAGGTGCCCGGGGAGAAGAATATTTTAGGCAGAGAAGCGCACGAAGCTCAGATGTGAGGACAAGCTCAGCAGATCCATAGAACAGGCAGAACAGAGGGGAGTATGGTAGGCAGGGCAGAGGATGCAGGAGGAACAGAGGAGAGTGTGGTAGGCAGGGCAGAGGCTGCAGGGCAGATTGTAGACCGAGATAGGAGAGATGGGAAGCATAGGAAGGTTTTACTCAAGGCAGCCGTGTGATCTGATGGCTGTTTCAAAAGCCTGCCCTGGAGGCTGTTTAGAAAGAAAGTTCAAGGTGGGAGTTTGACCAGTATTGTATCCAACCCAAAGTAACCCATTTAACTCAAGTTACCGTGTCACATATCTCACTAAGAAGGGTCGTTCTTAAAGGCCAAGGATTATTAAGTTTATTTCTGTGAATGCATTTTTATCTTCCAAATACTTTAATCAGGCAGCTACCTACAGGTGTTTTTTATTTTGGAAAACCAGGATTGTTGTTATACTTATGTGTTTTATTAATTAAACATGGGAAAAAAATAATACATTTCGTGTTTTAGGTTGTTTTTTTTTTTTTTTTTCTTCAACGTTTTTATTTATTTATTTATTTATTTTTGGGACAGAGAGAGACAGAGCATGAATGGGGGAGGGGCAGAGAGAGAGGGAGACACAGAATCGGAAACAGGCTCCAGGCTCCGAGCCATCAGCCCAGAGCCTGATGCGGGGCTCGAACTCACGGACCGCGAGATCGTGACCTGGCTGAAGTCGGACGCTTAACCGACTGCGCCACCCAGGCGCCCCTGTTTTTTTTTTTTAAGTAGGCTCCACACCCAGTGCCAAGCCCAACACCGGGCTTGAACTCAACGACCCTGAGATCAAGACCTGAGCTGAGATCAAGCGTCGGATGCTTAACCGACTGAGCCACCCAGGCGTCCTTGGATTTTTTTTTAAATAGACTTTGTTAGACTTTATTTTTTAAAGCAGTTTTAGATTCATAGCAACACTGAGCAGAAAGTAGAGAATTCCCATGTACTTCTGTCCCCACACATGCACAACTTCCCTCACTTGTCAGCATTGTGCACCAGAATGAGACATTTGTTACCCTCGATGGACCCTACATTGGGACATTATGATCACCTGAATGTAAAGTATGATCTTTGGGTGATAATGACATTTTAGATTTTTAAAAGTCCAATTCCTGTATTTAAAATAATTGCATTACGAGACTTTGATTAAAATGGTCTGGTTAAAAAATAGGAAAAGATAAACCATCTGTTTAAGGGCCTCTGTGATACAAATTATAGAAACTGATCCTGTGTAGCCCTTCATACCTAGCACAAAGGAAGCTTCCATGTTGGTAGTAAATTAGGATTCTTTTTTTTTTTTTTTTTTAAAGTTTATTCTGAGAGAATGAGCTAGTGCAGATAAGCGGTGGCGGGGGGGGGGGGGGGGGGGGGGGGGGGGGGGGCGGCAGCGCAGAGAGAAGGAGAAAGAGAGCATGGAGGCTGATGTGGGGCTTGAACTCAGGAACCACAAGATCATGACCTGAGCTGAAATCAAGAGTCGATGCCCAACCGAGCCACCCAGGCACCACTAAATTAGGATTCTGAATGAAACCCCACTCATAGCATGATTCTCTGTCTGCAGAGCTCTTGGGGAAACAAGTCCTGTTCAGGTTTTCTTTAGTACTTAGGTGTGTGCCTCATCATTTGCTTGATCACTTTTTAGGGAAGAATGTGATACACAAGGCAAGCATTTACCTATCTGTGACATGCTGTAGTGTTAGTGTTGGTCTCCTCACCCTGCACGTGGCGGTGGTTTGTCATTACAATTTTTACTTCCTCAGCATGTGGCGAGTTCACATGAGGCCGTGATTTGTACACGCAGGACCATTAGGTTAGATGTGCCTGTGTAAACCGTCCAAGGCAGAGAGATTTTTGCGTTGGTCTTTGTGCTTTGGGGGCAGAGGTCTCTAGAGGCCAGGTCATGCCCCATTCCCACTCAGGAATGGCTCAGGTGCCTCTGTCAGGGAAGGAGCCCGTGGTCACAGAGAGGTGCTGCTGCCCGTGTGTCTCCTTGCCTGGTCCTCTCCGGGCGTGATTTCTGGGAAAGGCCCCGAGCCCCTTCTCTTTATAGAGGGTGTTTGCTCTGGGCCTGGGCCCTGGCAGCTGTCACAGAGCCTCAGGGTTCCCTCTGGGAGCAGCAGGATTATCTGCCTCAGGCTTCTTCAAGAAACTTTCCTTTCAGGCGTTTATTCGACGATGCTTGGCCTACCGAAAGGAGGACCGCATCGATGTCCAGCAGCTGGCCTGTGACCCCTACTTGCTGCCTCACATCCGAAAGTCGGTCTCCACGAGTAGCCCTGCTGGAGCTGCTATTGCATCGACCTCGGGGGCATCCAATAACAGTTCTTCGAATTGAGACCCACTCCTAGGCTGCAAACTGTTCGGCACACACAGAGTGGACAAATGGCATTCAGCAGCGGGTTTGGAACATAGCGAATCCGAATGGATCTCATGAAACCTGTACCAGGTGCTTTTATTTTCTTGCTTTTTTCCCATCCATAGAGCATGACAGCATCGATTCTCATTGAGGAGAAGCCTTGGGCAGCTCTGGCCAGGCCTCGTAGGAAAAGGCCCCGCCCGAGGTTCCGGCGTCAACGGCCACTACGTGTGGCTGCTCTGAGTGAGGAAAAAATGAAAAAGAAAAACTGGTTCCATGTACTGTGAACTTGAAAACATGCAGACTCAGGGGGGTCCCTGATGCAGTGCTTCAGATGAAGAATGTGGACTTGAAAATACAGACTGGGCTAGTCCAGTGTCTATATTTAAACTTGTTCTTTTCTTTTAATAAAGTTTAGGTAACATCTCCTGAAAAGCTTGTAGCACAAAGGCTCAGCTGGGGATGGTGTTTGACTTCGGAGGAAAAAAAGTTGCTATTGCCCGTTAAAGGCACTAGAGTTAGTGTTTTATCCCTAAATAATTTCAATTTTTAAAAACATGCAGCTTCCCTCCCCCCTTTTTTATTTTTGAAAGAATACATTTGGTCATAAAGTGAAACCCGTATTAGCAAGTACGTGGCAATGTTCATTCCAGTCAGATGCAGCTTTCTCCTCCGTCTGGTCTCCTGTTTGCAATTGCTTCCCTCATCTCAGTAGGGAAAACGTCGAGTGGCAGGACTGAGATGTGTGGGGCTTTGCCATTGGACAAAGAACGAGGTTAGAAGCCCGCAGCTTGGAGTCTCTAGGTTTTCAACTATTTCTTCACAATTTGAACACTTGACGGTTGTCCCTTTTAATTTATTTGAAGTGCTATTTTTTTAAATAAAGGTTCATCTGTCCATGCAGTCCTCTTGAATTCTCTGAATGTAGTAACTATCGAAAAACTGTTCCAGAGGTAGGCAGAAAATGGGCCAGGGAGCCAAATGCTCCAGGGATCAGGAGGTCCTACCTGCGGTCTCTGTGTGCTTGCTAAATGGTGTAACTTTCTTGTTAACCACGATATTAAAACTTGATCAGCTCATAAGCTTTCCTCTGTTAGATCTTTTGGCAGGAAACAACCTCCAAGCCTCTGAATTTTGTGGGTGTGCGCTGATGTGTGTGTCTGTGTGCATGTGCACACACGCTTTGCCTAACTCACCTTAATAGATTGATCAAGTGGAATTAAAAAAATAATTGCAGGGAGATAGGCATTTTGAATATGAACATTCTTTTGGAGCTCTTGTTTTTTTGTTTTGTTTTGTTTTTTTACATTCGGTCGTTTCTGAGATGTGTGATCAGCTGAAGACAGAGCTGAAACGGGAGATGTGCGGCCCCACGTGCCCTTGAAACAGCACAGCACTCGACAGTAGGGAGGGGAGGAGGCCAGAGCCTGAGCATGTGGTAGCCAGCTTGGAATGTTACTGACATATGTGGCAAGAGGGCTCAGCCAGAAATATTTAAAGATGCAGCATTCAGGCATGCGAGTTCCCTGGGCAGGGGGAGGGCAGTCAGGAAGGGCAGAGAGCTCTCAGATAACTGTAGTCTGTCTTTCACGTGTGAAAAATGTCACTGGTGACACTTGCGCTGGGACCTTTGTTGGTTTTGTGGACCTGCTCTGCCCCAGTCTCCCCAGTACCGGGAGATCTTAGGGGAAGAGGGGGTAATCCCAGTTGGAGAGATGTTTGTGGGTAGATATGGACTGCGGAACTCTGAACGGAAGGAAGTCGGTCCAGGAGTCCTCGGTGCCCCCAGCTTTCCATTTTATCATCGCAAGTGTCTATGCACGGGTTGTACACATGATCTATGTCTGTGTGTGTTTGTGTAGTACTTTTTTTTTAACCATTACTTTCAAGCTGTTAAGCAGAGAGTCCCTACAGGGTCTCGGGTTGAGCACGACCCTGAAAACCCTGAGAGGATGGTGTCTGCATATGTGAAGAGACGGAGGAGGCAAGACTTACTCAGCATTATTACGTTCTCTTCCTTGTTTTCTTCTCGTGCAGTGATCTTGCGAGACCTTTTTTTTTCTTAAGGTTGAAAGAATGCCGCTTCTTTGAGCCGTCCCTCGAACTTCCCACCGCCTTCTCCCCATGTGCTTGGTTAGAAGTGAAGCTTCAGGACTTTATCTGTCCATCTGTCTTTTCTCCCCTCGCCCTGTCTCCTCGCTTCCCTCGGGTCTGGGGCCTGGTTGGAGCTGACGGGGCTCGCTTGAGTCTGGGCAAGGCCTCTTTCCACTGCATGGACTAGCCCCGGAGAACATGCGGAACGCTGACTTTTTCTAGACTTTTAAGTAGCCAGTGAAATCACGAAGTGGGGTTCTTCCATGACATATTTTGTTAATATGGGTTTCACTTTTTTCAAGGATGATCCCTTATTGCCACAACTGATTTACTTTAAACAATGACAAAAAAAATGTGTATTAATTTGTAATTAAATCCAGTCAGACTGTTTTGGACTTTCCCAACTTGGGGGGTGGGGTGGGGAGGATATTAAAATAAGTTTCAAGAAGTGAATCTCCCAGCCTCTTGATTTTGCTCTAGTTCTAAGCTTCAAACAGGGCTCTTAGCATTTAGGGGGCGGGTAGGTAGGGGAGTCCTGCAGCTGACCGAGTCCCAGTGGACATCGCAGGCATGATGGCCATGTGTCGATTCGTAGAACACCTTTTGTACCTCCAGTGTGCCAGCAACTAAGGCTTGTTGGTGGGGATACAGCAGTGAACAGGATAGGGAAAGCCCACAGCCATCGGCTTGCAATCCAGGGGTGAAGGCTCTGGGCCCAGGAAGGGAAGGGATACAGGGCTCTGATGGGAATGAATCGGGCTCCAACTTAACCATCAGGAGATGGGCAGCTTTACATGGAGACTTGCTGCTGAGAGCGGTATGTACCCCACTTGTGTGGCCGACCCACACACACCTGCTATCCTCTGCCTTTCCCCCAGTGCTGTGAGGACAGGTTTTCCCCCAGGTGAGAAGATGAGCAGTCAAGGAGCTCTTGGTTTCCTCATTTAGAAAAAAACTCTCTTTAAACACAGTCATCTCCTAGAATGCTAGAGCTAGAAGAATCTTCAGGTCCAGCTCCTCGCTTCTAAGAAGGCGACATTTACAACTAGCCTGACCCACCTTGGGGAGTTCTGCTTTCTGAGAATCTCTACCCCTCCCCCCTCCCACTTACTCATCATTCTACTTGCCCAAGCTAGCTCAGTCTGTAATTAAAATCAGCCCTGGGGTAAGTGGGGGAGAGACGTGGTACACACACTAGTTGAGGTATGGAAAATCTCTGCTTCCTAAAATTAGCTGTTCTCTTTTTATTTCTTAAAGGCAGAATCACCTAGAAGTTAAGATTGTGGGCTTTACAAGTAGGTCTGGTTCAGATCCTACCTCTGTAAGCTTCAGGGATAGCTCCTTGCATGGTTGTCAGGAATAGAAATAGGGTATGTAAAGCACTTGGCACGCAAGAGGGGAGTAAAAAATGTGGTTTACAGACGGATCACAAGATCAGTGAGTAAGATTGCTGAGACTGAAACCCCCAAGTTTGCTGGTGAAGAGTCAGAGCCTTTCTACTTGCCAGGTGGTCAGGAGGTCCTTTTGCCTTGGGTAAGTGATGCGCACCTTAGGCTTGAGATTCCCTGCAAACCTTTATAGGTTCATTCAACAGTCTCTTATTACCCTGGGTCCAAGACTGCTCTGGCTGAATCTGGGAGGAATGGCTAAGAGGCCAGTGTGGTTCCCAGACCGGCAGCATCCGCATCACCTGAAACCTGTTAGATATTCACATTCTCAGCACTTCCCCGCCCCCAGTCTGCCTCCCAGATGGCTGGAGCACTGAGGGTCACAAGTCCTCCTGACTTCCTATCAGCTGCAGCAACAAGGATGGGGCAGTTGGAGAGGGTGGCTGTCAGGCTTTGTCTAAAACTCACCCAGCTGGAAGACAGAGATGACTGTTTTATTTTCTGTGTTAGAGATGAAAATCTATCTCCTGCTCTGGGCTGTTCTATATGTTCATGCATATATACTCCATTATGGGGAGCCCCAGGAGTGGCCAGACAACACATCTCTTATACTGGTGCCTTGGTACCTAACATACTATTCAGGAATCATTCACTCCTTTGGGCAAAGCTTCTCATCCTTGGTCTTCTCTTAAAACATATAACAACTCACCGGTACTTTATCATGAATTAACTTAGCATTTTTTTCCTTTACCCGTGGGGTCCAGGGCTGCAGGAAAGAGCTGCAACCTGGGTCAGACCTGGATGGGCCCATGAATCCAGCCCGGCACTCTGGATCAGGAGTGAGGAGAGCCTGGGACTGCAGCTCTTTGGATGGAGTGAGGGTGGAGGAAGCAGAGAGTTTGCAGGGAGAAGAGGGTTAAGGAGAGAGTGGTTAGGGACTCTGGCTGCTGCGGGGCTCTGCGGGTGGGTTGGGGGAACCTGCCAGAGGGAAGTAGTGGGACCTGGTAGGGGCAGGAAATACAAGAGACCCATTGTGCTGGGGTTGCTCAGCAGGGGCCCGAGACAGGCTGGAGTCAGCAAAAGGGTGTGTGTGTGGCACTGGACAGGAGACCCCCACTGTGAGTAGCAAGGGGTCAGACAGCAGCTGGCAGGCTGACTCGGCCCCACCCACCTCAAGCCTGTGGGTTCGGGCCTCCCTGTCTGGAGGGAAGTGCCTGGCTGGAGAAGGAGGGTAACCTTTGCCCTTAGTAGCCTCCAGGCACCTGCAGCTGTGGGGTGCAGTGGGCAGTGTCAGCAAGGGGAAGGGCCTCTAGCACTGGTGCCGTGTAGGGAAGTTTCAGCTGTGTTGCTTCACAGCCCAGGGGTAGACAAGGTAGGAGTATCTCGCTGATTTTGCACATGAGGAAACGGAGTCCCAGAGATTTGGTGACTGGTAGTAGGTCGAGCAGGATTGAATGGGGAGGGACTACAAGCCTGAAAATTTGGGGGGGGAGGGGG